TTATTTGTTGATGACACGTCCTTATAAAGATTTGACAGATTTTTATTCCCCTCCCTGTTACTACAGCAGTTTTTTGCAATTATCAGGATATTTTGGATTCAGATTGTTTTCTATTTTACGTACAGATTTTTTTATTTTGGGAATTATTTTTGGTTATCACATTGTTTCACAACCACACAAAGGACCTTCATGTTTGAAGTTGTTCACTGCCATTTCTCAGATAACAGTATCAAGCCCACATCATCCCTTCATAGTTGTGGGGTCAGTTGGGATATAGAATTAATACATATAGATGAGCTCTGTCTGTTGTCTTCACACATAACAAAGGTTTGACTGGGAGTCAAATTCTTGTTCCTTTATGTTTGCAGTCTTTCCATAGCCTTTCAGGGTAAGGAATATCTGTGTGGTTGTTCCTTTTTCTCTTGTGGTAAACACTTTCCCTTCAACTTGATTTTTTATAGAATTTGTTCATTATTCTTGAAATTCAGAAATGTCACAAGGTTGTCTAAGTGCAACTCTTTTTATTAAAAATTTCCCAGTTCTTAAAACAAAAAATCTGAGTTCTTTATACAGCTAAAGGTTCAAGTTGTTTGTCAGCTTAAGGAAATTTGTTTAAAATATTTGATCATTGTTTTTCTTTTAATCCATTCAAAGCACTGGCTTAATAAAGCTGTTACAGTTTTTTTGTTTTTTTTTTTTGCTCATCTTCATTTCTTTATCCTTTTCCTCAGAGTTCTAGTAAATGATCAAGCTAGTCTACTAATGCCTGATTTAGCTTTCAAGTACCAAATTTGCTTTTCTTTGCCTCTAACGTGTTAGTTTGGGGTTGCTTTTTAGTTTAGGTGATTTTGGATTTTTTTTGTAATTTAGAAATTGCCTATTGTATCCGCTAACAATTGTGCCCAATCTCACTTTTTCTTTCCAAAACAATGAAAGGAAACAGCAAGTGTCATATGAGAGGCCTTCAAAAATTCTTGGAAACATGAAATGAAAAGATAATGGAATTTCCCACGAACTTTTTGAAGCTCCCTTGTTTAAATATGAACTCAGAGATGTTTTAAAAAAATGTTTTTCTCCTACATAGAAGTAAATCTTTAGGACTTTGCTTTTGGCAGCAGATACCTAGATAACATACCAAAAACATGAGTTAGAGAAATAGTGAATGCAAATAACCTGTTTAAGAAGTAAAAAAAAAAAAAAAATTGGGTTATGTTTGTTTGTTGTTTGCAATTAGACTGTTTTATTGGAGAATATTTGCTCTGAGTCCTTAGTTGTTGTTAAGTGTCATTGAGTCAGCTCTGACCCATAGGGGACCCTGTGTAGTGTTTCCAAGGAGCAGCTGGTGGTTTTGAACCACTGGCCTTGTGGTCATCAGTTCAGTGCTGATCCTACAGCACCACACCAGGCTG